TATATTGACATTGATGTACACCATGGGGACGGAGTGGAAGAAGCTTTTTATACAACTGATAGAGTTATGACTGTTTCTTTTCATAAGTACGGCGAATATTTTCCTGGCACTGGAGATCTTAGAGTTAGTATCTTGAAAATACATGAAAACAAAATTTATACGCGCTAAAGGTGTCATAATTTTTACTCATATTTTTAACATTTGCACACAGGATATTGGAGCTGGTAAAGGTAAATATTACGCCGTGAATATTCCTCTTCGTGACGGAATGGATGACGAATCTTACGAAAGTATTTTCGTTCCAATAATTAGTAAAGTAATGGAAACTTTTCAACCAAGTGCGGTTGTACTTCAATGTGGAGCTGACTCTTTAACAGGTTAATTTTTAAAAAATAAAAATTGAAATATAAAATAAAATTATTAGAGAAATGATAAAAACAATTTTTTGTTTGTAGGAGACCGTTTAGGTTGCTTTAATTTAACCGTTCGGGGTCATGGGAAATGCGTTGAATTTGTCAAAAAATACGGTATGCCATTTTTAATGGTAGGAGGAGGAGGATATACCATTCGTAATGTTTCAAGATGTTGGACCTATGAAACCTCCGTTGCTTTGGGAACTGAAATTGCCAACGAACTTCCTTATAATGATTATTTTGAATACTTTGGCCCAGGTAAATTTGTTTTATTCGTTAAATTTAATTAATAAATTAAATAATAAATGTTCACTTACAACAATACTATTTGTATAATTTGAATGTTTGTTAAATTTTTCAGATTTCAAATTACACATAAGTCCATCAAACATGGCGAATCAGAACACTCCTGAATATTTGGAAAAAATTAAAACAAGATTATTTGAAAATTTAAGAATGTTGCCGCACGCACCAGGAGTTCAAGTACAAGCCATACCCGAGGATGGAGTGCACGAATCAGAAGAAGATGAGGATAAAGTTAATCCAGATGAAAGGCTACCTCAATCCGAAAAGGTTTTTTTTTTTTTTAATTTCAAAAAAATTAATAACTTT